GTAAAAAATCGAAAGTTTTGTAGTACATAGTTTTTTCTTCGTTTTGCTATTTAAATTGTAAACGTTCAGTAAGAATTTTTTGACATTTTAATTTAAAATGCAATATTAATTAAACTAAAAATTAAATAATTATATTTATACTTTTATTTGCATTAAAAAGTAAGTATTATTTGAAACGAAAACTACAGATAATCAAATAATTTTATATTTTATGATATTTATATGAAAGGGAACATGAAATTATATTACAATATATATTTTAATATATATATTTATATTTAATAATTATAACTAAACAAGTCAAAAATACAAATAATATAATATGAAATTTTCAAGGAAAATAAAGTATAACAAAATAAAAGAAAATAAATGAAGAAAATAAAATCAAATAATTTTTATATTAATATGCATTATTTTATTTCCACTTTTATTTATTTTTTTTAAGCATACACAGTTATCTTATCAAATTTATTTGAAGCTGAAATTACCCATTACATTTGACAATTTTCGGTCGCTAAATATAATATGAAATAAGAAATATTATTCTGGCTTTATCTTTAAAATAATAACTAAATAAAGACAACAAATCACCGTTATATATATATGCCTATACTTGTTTTGATATGATAAATAGAATTTAATTTAATTTAATTTTTTAAGTATAATAATAAATAAAATTAATAAAATATATAATAGTTATTTTATAATCAAATATGTATAAAGGAATATTAGACAATTTATTTAATATGGAAAACTTGGCACAATATCAAGAGTTAAAATATAAATAATTGAATGATGCATATAATTTAAACACATAAGATTTTAATTAGATAAATAAATAAATTTTAATTAAATAAAATATTGAATTATAAAAATATGTAAATATGTATAATTAACTAATTACATTGTTATTATAAGAGATAATATCGCGAATGTAAAATGCGTAAACATGCAAAAGCGATAATGGAGGTCTGGAAGTAACGGTGAATCTTAAGGCTCGCACTGAACTGAATTTCTCTGAGCTTAATATTTTAGCGTAACTCCGATGAAAAATAGGAGTAATTAAATGAGTAAATTAAGGATTTTTGAATTTAATCAAGCTTTCACTTAATCACAAAATTTGTTAATAATAGAGTGAAGACTACAGAACTTGAAATATAATTACTTATGTATATAAACAATCTTCAAATTCGTATTGAATACGACTCTAAAAAGTCTAGTTCCAAAATTGTATATGATAAATATAGATGGGATCATTTAAGCGGCCGCTGATTGCCCCGCGGGGCAGAGGAGGTTATGGGTGAACTCATCTATTTGATAAATGCATTTCATTTCGGCTGGCAGGTAAAATTTTGAGATGCGTTGCCGAGCTTATTTTCGTTCTTGACTCGAATTGTGGCTCTAACTGTAACTGTAACTGTAACTGGACTCATCAATCAAGTGGAAAAATTAGAGCTGGGAAATGGGAACAGGGAACTGAGGACAGGGACCAGCTGTCCCGTCAACCTGATGACCGTTCTGGCGACAATATGCTAATGAGCTTTATGCCGTCTGTGTATTTAAATAGCGCGTTCCCTCTGCCTTTGATACTGTTTTTGATAGACGCACACACACACACACACAGAGAGAGCTTTTGAGGCAACCCTATTTCGCCTAATTGAATTAGGTTTCACGAAATATAAAAAAAAGGGAGCTCGCTTCAACCTTTTGAGTTGGCTGCAAATCGCCATTGATTGGGGTAACCGCATAATTTCATTTGAATCGAACTAAAGACCGATGAATACAATGCGACCAGAGAATACTCCGCGCTCTCACTCTCTCTCTCACACACTTTCTCTTGATCAAAGTGAGGAACAAAGCTCTCGAAGTTCTATAAAGCACAATTAGTTCAAATTTGTTCAATTGAGAATTGCGAATTCGGATTCGAATTTGAACTCATTAATGAACATTTCAGAAATTTTTGCATGCAATTTGCAATTTGTTCAACTTGTTTGTGTTGCTCGATTTTGAGGTGAAAGCGCGTAACGAAATAATATAATTACCGTTAGTGAAAGTCGTCGCCGCACCTTATAATTCAATTTCCGGTAATTAAGCGGTGGTGCACTCACCTGTTTAGATGCGAGGACAGGGGCTAGCGCAGGTGTCAGCAAGCGCTAGCAAATACAGCGGGTGAATATTAAGTATTTTCTATTTTATTTTTCACTAGAGAATCGTTTTATTTGGTTTTTAATTTAAAAAATATTTTTTATTTTTAAATTTAATTTTTGAATTTACTTTAGTTTTCAGCACATAAAAAAATAGTCAAGAAAAATATGCACAGATTGGTAAACGAGCAATACGAGTATCAGCACATAGAGTTAGCTCTGTCGAAGTACTTGTGGCACATTGTGTTCACACTTTCAAAAACCATTTTCGAAGCGTTTTGATAAATTGTCGCTCGGTTGCTCGGATGCTGCGCCGGCCACACAACCGTCGGTCAGGACATTCGCATGCGAACTGCAAACGCTTTCAACAATTCAAATCAGAAATCCAAGTGAACGTGGCCGTCGCCGTCGCCGTCGACGTTGCCGTTGCCGTTGCCGTTGCCAAAGAATCAACGAAGCGACCCGAACCTGAGCACGCACCAAGCGACAGCCGACATGGCGTATGAGCTATTTTTTGTTGTTGTTGTTGTTTTTACTTGTACTCGGAGCGCTTTGCCAGCGCACGCCCACTCAATGCCCTGAGTGAGTTTGTCTTGCCTTCAAAACAGGATGCGAATAGAAATATGTGCATGCATTAAGACGCCGACCCATTCTGCGAAACGAAAATTAAACACGAATTATTTTCAGAATTGAAAAATTAGAAAATACATTTCCAGGAAATAGAACAGACGAAGATTAACTAACTGGCTGAGACTTTGCATATTTACTTGCTCCTATAAATAAGAAGAAGCATTGTGCTCTACTATTAAAATCAAACAGTTATTAGGGTATATACATAGATTAAAATATGAATAATATTGTATAAATAAGTCCACCAGTTAAATGGTAGGGGTCTACCTTAATATAGGGCATCGTTCAGTCGAGCAACAAGCGTGTGTAAATAATTCATATATCAAGCTTATATCACATAATGTGAGCGACCATACGGCTATTTGAATGTTGGGCAATTGTTCTTAATTAATCTGATTTGTTGGCCCAGATTGCTCAGTTAATTGTTTTGCTGTGATTTTTATTGGGGTTTTTCTTGATAAATCTTTGTTATATTATTTTGTAATGGGCTGCCGCCAGGGCATGGGAAGACAAGGAAGCGACTGGCTGGGCAGTTGATTAAGACGAAATTAAATGGCAATGGCATAGCTGATAATCAGCTCGGGAAGACCGCTTAATTTGATTATCACAAATAGAAACAGCAGCCGGGCCAGCCAAATGGCCAAGGCAATCGAGGCCGAGGCAGAATCCATTAAGCCAACACATCTAACGGTCGCACGCAACAGGCGCGCATGGAATTCTCTAAGGACTACGGTACGAGCGGATGGCACAACGGAATATTTGTAAACAAAAACGAGCCAGACTGCGCACCATAGTCCCTGCTCCAGGAGGGGGACATTCGGCATTGAGCAGCGGCTGCTCCCCTTGGGGCGCCACTGGCTGCGCAGAAGATAAGTTGCGCTCAAGTTGAGCGAAAACTATAGTCACTCGCCCCATGAATGAGACCGAAGAATTTCGCTCAATGAACATGTGGTGCCGCTGGTGCCAACTGGGCTATTGTAAATTAGGAATAATAGACAGCAGCTTGGCTTTAAGTCATAAAGAGCATAATTAGCTCTAATGTATGTGTCGCCATTGTTCGGCCAGTTACGGTCTACTTGGCTTGCCCGATGTGGTGCAAAGCACATGCACTAGGGCTACAATGACTAATTGGGCTGCGATTAGAAGTGTCCGATATATCCATCAATACTTGAATATACTAAGAAAGTAATAAACATTTCAGCAATTTTAGAATAATATTTGAATCAATTTTAAATTCTACATTGCTTTCGCGCCTTAATGTTAACGAAAATTTGTGTGTCGAAGAATGCAATGAAGTATCGATGTGAATTATCGATAAACGGCAACCGATGTTTCTTTCGTTCATCAGCTGTGCGCACACTGACTTGTCAAAGCAGCTGATAAGCAACTGTTTTCTCAGCACAAAAATGAGTAACTATCGATTAGATTTAAATATGTTTATCGAAAGCGATAGCTATGTCGTGTACGCTGGAATAATAAATTCAAAAGCCACAGACACAGGAGAAAAGTATGTTTATCATTAGGTAAGAAAAAATTTAATTTTGTACATAAAGTGACCAAATCCTTCTAATAATTGTCATTTGTGGCGAAATCGGGATATGATGAAAATCTATCAGTGAAATTTGAGCCTTGGGAGTCCTATGAGCCTTGACTATTGATTGTATATATAATAATGTATTTATAAATATGAAATGAACGCCTTTGTGTCAACAATGAAAAATTGTGAGTATTTACTATATGTATTCATATCAAGGCCAATGTCAAGGCGTTGTTTCTGCCATATACAGTAATGTGTAAATAAATGGTTTACTGGACACCGTAGGCATATAATATCGCATTGTGCTTTTATAGAGAAACTGACTGACGTTTATTCCTCCAAATGTAAACACTTAAATTATACGGGCTCAGCAAGACTTTAATTTTTTTCATTGTAATCGATAGTCGGAAACGGTCAATCTCAAAGCTTTGGCGATATTTCATCAAATTCAGATGTTCATCTCAAAGATGTATTTAGTTGTTACTATTAAATGACACTATATAAGGTGATTCATCTAAATGCAATAAATTTCTGTACAATGCTACAAGCAAATATATAGCACAAATACTGTTTCGCTAATCGTTTCCTTAACTACAGTAAGATCATTTATTTATAAGCCAAATCGATACATGTATTGTTATATCGAAATTTGACACGAGCAGAGTCCGATACATAAACAACCCTAGCTTTTAATTCACAACGAATTGGCATGCATTAAACATCTACGACGTAACAAATTGAACAGAAGACGCGCGATAGTTAAGGGCACAAAGTCAAGACAAAGTGCAAGTGGGCGAATGTCGCCGCCTACATATCGATATGTATGTATGATTTCGTGTCTTACATATGTGTGCAAGTGTGTGGTCTGTGTGTGTTGTGTGTGGTGTGCGAGTGTGTGTTTGTGCAACGCTGTGTAGAAATTAACGTAGTGTGAAGAAGTTGCAAAAACGACGACGAAAATTGAAAATTGAACTGAATCAAAGACGCAGCAGCGCTTCGTTCAAGCAGCTGCCACAACGATAAATGCGACATCAGCGGATTTGTAAGTTTTGCATTTGAAACTGGAGCGACCGCAACGGCAGCGGATTTCGATTCCTGTAAACAAAAACCAAATCACCAGCAGCAAAACAAATGGCCTATCATTGAACGCCAACAACAACAACAGCAAGAGCAACAGCAGTAGCAGCAGCAGCAACAGTAGTAGCAGCAGCAACAGTAGTAGCAGCAGCAGCAGCGGAAACGTCGTTGAATCATCATGCGGAACTTGTTTTTGTTGTAGGCTGTGGTCGTAGCATAATATGAAACAGCAACGATAACAACAACAACAATAACAACAGCAGCGGCAACAACAACAGCAAAATCCACGACATCAGCATTGACGGCAGCGACATTGTCGTTCGTATCGAGATTCGAGCAAAGTTGCTTATTTATATTATTGCTTTGATTTTCATTCGAGCTGTGTGCATTTGTAATCAGCTTGCGGCGATAGCACGACGACGTCGGCAATGTAAACAAAGATTTGCGCCAGCTGCCGCCACCGTATCGACTTTGGTACGGTGGCCTGGGCATGTGTCTTTGCCCGTCCATTTTATCTTATCGCAACGACTAAAAGCTCCCCTTTTTGGCATTTCTTTGCAGTTGAGACGAACACACGAGCGATTCCAGCATAAGATATGGAGGAGAAACGCATAGCGGATTACTTTGTGATTGCGGGAATGCCCGAGCAGCCACAGCTGCTCCAGGAGAATATATTCAATGACTCGGGCCGTCTGCGTGCGGCCAATACAATTGAGCCCATCACAGACATTGGCGTCTTCTTTCCGCTCCTGGGCGAACAGATTCCCGATGGCTATGAGCTGTTGGAGCACACGCCCACTGGACTGCCAGCAAATCTCAATCATGGCTCCGTCCGCACCACTGAATGCTACATATACTTTCGACGCGGCAAGGATCGACCGCCGCTAGTGGACATCGGTGAGTGAATCGAAGTCACCACATGTGAGCCGTAATCGAGTGGTTTTCTTTTCTGCTGTTGAAGGTGTGCTCTATGATGGCCACGAACGCATCATGTCGGATGCGGAAATAGTGGCCGAAACGCCCGGCGGCCGTGTGGCCAATGTGAACAACTCGTCGGCGAAAACATTTCTCACATATCGTCGAGCCCGTCCAGACATGCCCTGCAACGAGCTGGTGGTCACCGAACTCTGCGTGATCGTCCAGAGCAAAGGGGAACGACCGCCGCACGCCTTCTGTCTCATTTACAAGACGCTGAACAAGGGCTATGTGGGCAGCGATGTATATCTGTGCTACAAGAAGTCCATGTACCGTCCCAAGCACATTAGCTACAAGCCGGAAATACTGCTGCGCTATCCCACCGTCGATCACACGGACTTTCCGCTCAACCTCTGTCCGAGCGTGCCCCTCTTCTGCCTGCCCATGGGTGCCAGCCTGGAGGCCTGGCCCCACGTCAATGGCACCGAGAAGCGGAAACCCATCAGCCCTGTGTTCAGCACATTTGTACTAACTGTGAGCGATGGCACCTACAAGGTGTACGGCTCAGCGCTCACCTTCTACGAGGACTACGAGTAAGAAATGCACTTAAAAACTTATTCGTGATTCAATTTACGATACATTCGCTTCCAGTGAATCGCTGCTGTCCGCGGAGCAGCGCGAGCTGCTCGGCTGGGATGAGGAGTTTGCGTCGCAGCACTCGCTCCACATGATCAAGGCCATCTGCCTGCTCTCGCACCATCCGTTTGGCGACACATTTGACAAGTGGCTGAAATATTTACACGTAAGCGCCTGCAGCAATTAACAGACGCCCGCTAACCGATCTCATATTACCCCCTCTCTCTCTCTCTCTTCAAGCGCATGGTCGTGTATGGTGTCAATATACCGATACCCGTGGAGCGTTACATTATCCAGCTGCTGGACGAGGTGCCCTTCCCGGCGCCCAGCATACATCTGCAGCTGTCGAGTGAGTCGAACGATCGAATTCTGCTCACGCAGCCAGAGGACTCACCACTGCCGCGCAGCGGCGCCGGCTTCCACATGCTGCTCCAGAATCTGGGCACCGACAACTGCCTGCACGTGCTCCTCCTGGCGCTCACCGAACAAAAGATACTCATACACTCGCTCAGGTAAGTGCGGGATCGACTCCATCTTTGGCTCTGTCTAACCCTCTTCTCCCTTGTAGGCCCGCAACTCTGACTGCCGTCGCTGAGGCGATTGTCTCGCTACTCTTTCCGTTCAAGTGGCAATGCCCCTATATACCGTTGTGCCCGCTGGGCTTGGCCGAAGTGCTGCATGCGCCTTTGCCTTATTTGATTGGCGTCGACTCGCGTTTCTTCGATCTGTACGAGCCGCCCACGGATGTGACCTGCATTGATCTGGACACCAACAACATCAGCGTATGCATTCTCCACTCTCTCTCTCTCTCTCTCTCTGTCTGTGTCTCTCTGTTCATTCGTTTATTCTTGAATCTCTCGCCCACAGCTGTGTGACTCCCAGCGCCATTTGACGCCCAAGCTGCTGCCAAAGCGCGCGGCTCGACTGCTGCGACAGACGCTCACCGAGCTGGAGAACGCGAAGCCCATCAGCTACGACTCGACCAACAGCTTGGATCGGGACATACGCAAGCGCAAGCGTGAGGCAAGTTTGGCCCCCCTCGAACAGCTCTTCCCCTTCCCCCTTTCAATTCACTTTATTCAGCTCAATTTGTGTTAATGTGTTTGCTTCGCTTTTTCGTTTTGTTGCAGCTGGTGCTGGAGCAGCGCATCCAAGAGGCGTTTCTGCTCTTCATGGCGTGCATTTTGCGGGGCTATCGTGACTATCTGGTGCCAATTTCCAAGGCACCCTCTGTGGGCGCCACGGATCCGAGTGCCTTATTTCAGCTGAAAGCTTTTCTGCGCTCCCGGGACAAGGTAAGCAAGGCAAGGCAAGGCAAGGCGGTGCGCCAGGGGCCGGGGCGTGGCCCCAGACAATGGGGCAAGGCAATTGCGTGCGGACAACTGCTTCAGTAGATTCATTCGCTGTGGCCTTGAAGCTCATTGCTTTTGCGTTTCCCTCGCAGCAATCTAGAAAGTGGAATTCAATCTATTTTTATCTCCAAATAATATTCACATTCCCAAGATGACGTCAGCGTCAGCAAGAGGCAACCCGTTGGGAGAATCGGCCAGCGGATTGAACCACTGTCCGCTTAGCGGGCTCGCCCACGATATCTCCTAATGCTTCCGATAATCTGCGGCGATATTTAAATGCCCCAAGTCGGCCAATTACGCTCACAGTAATTATCGTAATTAAACTAATTATAATTGCTGCTCGGTTCAATCAACCACAACTCGACACTATGTAGTATAATCGAACTACATCACATACGCACATACACACACATATATACATATGTATGTGCAGAGGGCATTCGCACTTCTCTCTCAATCAAAAGCAAAAGTTTGCCCCCTTTGCTGGGGGCTTTTTGAATTAGTTTTTCCAGTGGCGAGAATTGCTTTATATGAAATCATTCAATCAAAAGCCAATAAATGATGCTGCATCCACTGAGTCACGTCTTGTGATCTCATCTTCATTGCGGCAAACGTCGAATCATTGATATGCCGTTAGCATTGATGAATAACCCGATTCAATAAGTAATTCACTTTAATTTAGCTAAATGTATTTTTAGTACGTGATTTATAGAAAGCCTTTTCCCACTACATCTCTCTCTCTCTCTCTCTCTTCTCCTCTCGCTCGCTCCTCTTTATAGTCGCACCAGAAATTCTTTGAGCTGCTGATGAAAACTCAGATGTTCATCCGGTTCATCGAGGAGCGCAGCTTTGTCTCCGACGGAGATCACGGCCTGAGCTTCTTCGACGAGTGCGCCGAGAAGGTGACGGGCTACGACGAGACGCCCGGGCAGCTGCGCCTGGTTGACTGGGACACGGGCCAGAGCAGCGAGCGCACCAAGTACATCTTTCCGCCGGACAATGTGTCCGTGGCGTCCGGCGGCGCCTCCAGCTACGTGTACAAGAACTTCACGCTGAGGCCGGAGCTGCTGCAAAGCACCAAGAAGACGGCGCTGTCGCAGTTCCTGCAGCTGCAGCTGAACGCCTCGCTGTCGCCCGGCTCGCCGATCGCACGGCGCACCAAGCACGAGGTGAAGCTGTCGCAGAAGATGGCCAGCCGCTGCCAGCAGCATCCGGAGGCGTGGTCCAAGTACCTGCTGGCCACCTGCTACTCGCTGTACTTTCTGATTCTGCCGTCCATGGTGATGGACACGCGGCACGCGGGCAAGGAGCACGACATCCTGCGGGCCGCCTACGACGTCCTGGTGCGCGCCAGCAAGCTGAAGATCACCTGCGACGAGTTCTGCTACCGCATCATGATGCAGCTCTGCGGCATACACAATCTGCCGGTGCTGGCGGTGCGCCTGCACTACCTGATGAAGCGCTCGGGCGTCCAGCCGAACGCGCTCACCTACGGCTTCTACAATCGCTGCGTGCTCGAGTCGCAGTGGCCCAGCGACAGCACCACGCTCAGCCAGATCCGCTGGAACCGCATCAAGAACGTGGTCATGGGCGCCGCGCAGTTTCGACGCGCCGGCAAGCGTCGAGCCGCCGCCAAGGTGTGCAAGTCCCTCAGCTCCTCGCACGACCACAACCTGAGCACCCTGGAGATGGTGGACGGCCAGTCGCGCAGCAGTCTGGCCAGCTCCGGCGAGGGCGGCGGCGGCGCCGGCGGCGGGGGCCTGCTCGACTTTGCCGCCTTCGACAGGCTGCGCAACAAGCTGGGCAGCATTGTGCGCCAGACGGTGGCGGGCGGCACGGCGGACGCGCTGCCCACCGAGGACGTGGTCAACAGCGCCGGGCTGCTCATCAGCGGCGAGTCGGCGGCCAACAGCGCCAACGGCAGCACGCCCCTTACGCCCACCTACGGCGGCGACGCGCAGCTGCTGAACAAGCCGCGCAAGCAGATCATGAGCATCGGCGATGGCGAGGACGACGACGAGGACGAGGACCAACAGGCCGAGCACGCGGAGCTGTCGGCGCCGCAGACGCCGCAGAAGGGCAAGGAGTTTGCTGGCGGCGACTACGACCTGGACGTGGATGTGGATGTCGATGTGGATGTGGACGTGGATGTCGATGTGGATGTGGACGAGGAGCAGGAGCAGGATGAGCTTGACGAGCATGTGGGCGCACATCAGGCCAGGCAGCGTGTGCAGAGCCCCACCAAGTATGAGTCCTCCCTGACGTTCGCTTCTCTCTATTTGCTTCTGCTCAATTCTAAACTCTCCCTTATTTTATAGAATTTCGCCACGTACCCCCGTCACCCAGAACGATCCGCTGGGCGCCTTGAACGAAGAGGACGCCACGCCCACACAGCAGCCGGAGGCACAGCCAGAGCTGGCAGCAACAACGGCCGCCAACAGCAACATGTACAGCGACAAGCCGATCCTGTTCAGGGGCCAGCGCAGCGCCACCTTCGACGAGTCCACGCAGATCGGGAAGAGCATGCACCGGTCCGAGACGATGCCCGTGGCCAGCAGCGGCGTCACCCACAGCCTGGCCAACATCGGCTCCTCGCTCAAGTTCACATTCGGGTAACTAAGTCCCAGCCGAACACGAATCAGACGAGAGCGAAGCAACAGACCCGATTAATTCCTATATGAACTACACTGCATATGTATATGTATACGTATATGTATATGTATATGTATATGTATATGTATATGTTGTGTGTCATTCATCTGTCGCATCACATGCATATAACCACCCTCACTCACACACACACACGCACACACCGCTCTCACACACACACATACAAACTGTTATACTTCTTTTTTCCCTCCTTGAGACTCTTATTTATTTGAATTAATGAATTTATTTCGATTCTGTTTTTTGCCTTTTTGGATCTCCCATATATGAAAACTCTCTGAATCGCTCCAATTCGTTTCTGTGCAACGTTTTGTATTTGTTGTTGTTGTTTTTTTTTTTTTTTACTGTAGACGTTATTCACCCGCACGATTGTCCCTTAAGAAAGACTTGAAATTGCCCGCCAATATTATAGAAAATATATCAAGTATAAGGTAAGTCAGTCAGCAAAGCTCTTAAAACTTGTACACTAGACACCCACACACACACACACGCACACGCACACATGTTGCAATCGCTGCTGCGGCATTCGTTTCTGTTTCACTCTAATTCTGTTCTCACCTTACTTCAGAATTGGCTTGGATTACCTAATTCAAGCCTCTCTGACTCGTAGCTTGAAATATTTGTGAAATTTCCATTAGGAATTTCCTTCAACTGTAGGGAGCTATCTCTGGTTCCATATAGTCCATTTATATTTTCATATATTTTGTGATCCATTTGGGCTTGGCTCTTATCATGTATGTCTATCAATATCTCAGCAATCTCAGTAATCTGTCAATATTCAAATATTTTATAAAAAAGGAACTATATTATATAGCTCTAGATGGGAATGTCATGATTGTAGTTGTATTATAAAGCTCTAGATGGCTATGTGAATTTACTAGTATGCTAATTTCTATGAATTATTCTATGAATTAGTCATTTATATTCTAATTTATATAGCTACAGTCTATATATAGTCAAATTATCCCATAACACTGAGCAAAATATTAACTCGAATATACACAAAGTACAGTCAATAGTAAACTTCCCAGGAAACTTGACTCTCGTCATAGCTTCCACTCAATATAGATTTCACTGCTGAACTACACAAATTGAGATCTTTAATCGAGTTGTAATTAACTAGGTTCAATAACAATAACAAATAATTTACTGTAATCATGGTTGATATTGATATTTCTCAAGTATGTCATGCAGCATTTGCTTTTACACACACACACACACACACAACTATTGAACACTCTTATGTATTCCACTTAAGTTTCACCTGGGATCGGTTACTGCAATACGAAACGTTTCGGGTTTTGGGTTGTCCTTTAACGCAATTCGATCGTCGGTTGTTGATGATGGTGTCGTTGTCGTTGTTGTTGTTGTTGTTGTCGTTGTTGGTGGCGGGCAATTGAAGGTTTGACACAAGCCACACAACCACACCCACACCCACTTTCACACCCATCCACCCACCCACACTCACTCACTCACGCTGAATGTTTACAGTTATTCATATTACGTACATTACCACAACATCCACGGTAAACCTCGTTTTCTTCATAACCCACAGCAGCACCCGACACTCGCTCTCTATCTCGCTCACTCACTCTCTCTCGCTCTCACTTGCGTACTTCACTTTCTATCACTATCTCACTCTAGTGTCTGTACTCACTCTCTCTCTCTCTAACATTCCCTCTATCTCTCTCTTTCTCTCACAGTCTGTTCTTTTCATAACAGCAGCAGCAAATTATTGTATTTCTTCGCCAAGTGGTTTCATATTTATGTTTCAAGTGATTTCTTGAAGCTTGAAAAGTGGGAAATATTTACAGGAATTGAAAGTGTACATTGGCTTTGTCAAAATGTATGTAACAGGCAGAAGAAGGTGTGGCCAACTCCATAAGATGTATGTGTACGACTAATCAAGCCCACGAGCTGAGTTAATTTAGCTCTGTCCGTCTGTTCGCATGTGTGAACCCATCGATCTGGCCTGATCTGATCTGATAGCAAATCTGTCCTATATGTATGGGAGTTTATGCCTAATTATTATTAGCTAATTGTACTACATTAAATTGAAGATGTAGATCATATACTGAAGTCGTTATTGCAATCTATTGATTAACAGAGAAGTTATTAAAGGGATATGGAGTTTTTAAGGGCCTAAAGACTGAGGGTCTTTCCTAATCTCAAGATCTTTTATTGGCTTGCTCAAGCTGTTTTTGGAAAAACGTTCAGCTAATTAGCTAACTCATTCCAATCCCAGAACAATATTCTATTTGCTAGATCTTAAATGTGAAACTCTATATAGTTGATTATATCATGATGGTAGTTTAGTATAACGTCCAAATACAGATCTTTCAAAAGAAACTTTGTTAGATTAAAGTATTCGATAATTGATAATATCATCCCAATGATAGTTCGTTTATGAAGATGTGAAGATGTAAGGAAAGATAGGCCAAGGAACAGTTACTTAGACTCTGCTGCTGCTGCTGTTGTCCTAGCATTTCTTGTTGTTGTTATTGTTGTTGTTGTTATTAATCGTGTGTACTGTGAAAGGAGTTTTGACTTGAAAATCGTAACTCATCGAACGCCCACTCTCCAACAGCCCCAGCCTGACGAGCAAGAAGTCCAACGAGCTCATCCAGGGCAGCCTGAGCAGCATTAAGTATGCGGCCAACTCGCTGACGCGCAAGTTCGATGAGATCAAGGGCGCGATATCGGCCAACTCGACGCCGGTGAAGACGAACAATGGGTACCAGCATGGCCATCACCATCACCACCACCACCATCACCACCATCTGCAGCACCATCACCATCACCATCCCCATCAGCAGGAGGCGTTTGCGGGCGGCGAGGACCATGACGCCGCTGGCGGTGCCGACGAGGGCAAGTTGAGGCGTGTCTCGAGCGACCTGGATCCGTGGGGCCGGCTCAGCGAGTCGCGCAAGTCGAGCTACAACAATCTGGTGCCCCTGGGCGAGAACAGCTCCAATGCGGCATTGCATCTGCACTCGCTGCCCGTGCTGCCCGACAATCTCTACAGCACCCCGACGGAGGTAGGAGCTGGGGCAGCGCAGTGCAAACTGAATCTAACGGTACCTTGATCCATTGCAGAGCAACGGCGATCCTGAGTGCGATGTCCTGATACAGCTGACGACCTGCTCGCAGTGCCACAACTGCTCGGTGCTGGTCTACGACGAGGAGATCATGAGCGGCTGGTCGGCGGAGGACTCCAACTTGAACACCACGTGCCATGCGTGCAACAAGCTGACCGTGCCCTTCCTCAGCGTACAGATCACGCGGCTCGCATCCGCCGCCGACGCCGAGAGCAACGGCGAGCGCGTGGCTGCGGACAAGAGCAGCCTGACGGTGCCATATCTGAATCCGCTGGTGCTGCGCAAGGAGCTGGAGAACATACTCACCCAGGAGGGCGACCTGTCGCTCATCAAGCCCACGTTCGTCGAGGAGCATCCGATCATCTACTGGAATCTGCTGTGGCTCATGGAGCGCATCGAGGGCAAGACCCACCTGCCCGAGCTGTGTCTGCCCCCAACGGTAAGTGAGAGCGAGAGCGAGAGAGAGAGAGAGAGAGAGAGAGAGAGAGAGAGACAGTGCCTCAATTGTGTTTCTATTCTGTGCCACAGAGCGATGAGGAGCAGCTGGATCCACTGACCAAGGTCAAGACCGTACACATACAGTGCCTATGGGACAACCTAAGCTTGCACAGCGAGACCAGCGGATCGCCCATGTACATTCTCTATCGGCAGACGCAGCCGGCCAGTCCGTTGATAAAGGCGCTGCTGACCGATCAGGCGCAGCTCAGCATGAAGTGAGTAGTGATATAGACAGAGATGGATGTATAACTGAATTATTATCGCGTTGCGCTTGCAGTGTCATTCAGCAAATCCTTTCGGCGATTCGCTGCAACGACTTGGCAACGCCGCTGAAGCGCCTGGCCAACGAACGGCACAAGCTGAAGAGCAGCGGCGTGGAGCGTTCGCATTCGTTCTACCGGGACATACTCTTTCTGGCGCTGACGGCCATCGGCCGGGCCAACGTCGACATGGCCACATTCCATCGCGAATATGCGGCCGTGTTCGACAAGCTGACGGAGCGCGAGTGCAATATGTATTATCGCAACCAGGATCTGCCGCCATCGGCCTCCACGATCTTCTGTCGGGCGTACTTCAAGCCGCTGCTGCTGCCCTGACGTGCGGCCGACGCTGTGGACGGTGCGGACGGTGCGGACGGCGAGCAACGGCTGGGGATCAACGGATGCGACGACACGAATGCGACACCCTAAAAGACATGACGACCAAAAAGAAAACAGAGCAACCAGAAAACGCTTAGCTTAACCACATCAATGGACAGCAGCAAGAAAATCGAAAGCATAATTTGACTTGTAAATGACTTGAAGTTAAATCTTAAGTACTTAATGTTTATTATTTTGTGTATTTTTATTTGAATTGACAATTTTTGTTTGTTTCTTAGCACACACTCACACCAACACACGCACACACACGCACGCACTCCTTCTCGCTCTCGCTCGTTCGCTCTCTTGCTCTCCGTGCAGAGCTTACTCCTTTCCATATACTCACACACACACACACACACACATACATAAATGACTGGTTTCTAAGACAATACATACACATTCATACACACACATATATACACATCATATATATATCGTTATATATATATAGATATAAATCCATTTTTTGTTCGTTTTGCATTCAACCTCCTGCAACAACTTGACCCTCGACGTATTTGCCTTATTATATATAATATAACGGTACATCTGCGCATATTTATATACATATTTTATACACGACATGTGCGTTCCATCTATAGCTAGTTTTTTGTTTTTTTGTATAACGATACCATTCGCATAGCTGTACAAGGTATATGTATGTGGTTGATCATTTCAAATTAGCATCGCCTTCAAATTGTGATTTTTATTTCAAAAATATGAATTTCATCGATCGAATGTAGATAGCACATGAAATGGGATGTCTCGAAAAGCCTATTGGGGGGGGGTATACACATATACATACATACATACATATATTCGATTAGGGTTCCGGGTGGCTCGGACAGGGCTGGACTTAGGATAGCTTGATTTAAATTGGGATGCGAAACTGACGAAGACGACGACGACGACAACGATTAATATTGCAATAAATGGAAATCAGCCTATTTAACTGAAATATATATTAAAGATAAAATCTATTAAGGCTCACAGGTATACATATACAACCACACACACACACACATACCCATACACACTCACAGCGCAACGATAGTAAAGTTTTGAAAAATAAAATCGAAAAACAATGACAAACTCAAGTATCTGTATTTCAGCAATCTTTTTTGTCGGTCATCTTAAGAGAATGTATATTTAATAATGTTTAAATTAATTTACAAATAAATGCAAAAATAAAAACAAATTAAAACCCATATACCTAATGGAAATTTAGTCGACGCTGCTCGAATAGCAGTCGGATCTGTGCGTTCCGAAATATAATCCATAGCCTTTTGTTTGATTACTTTTCAATGGAATTTTCAGTATATTATCTGCATATTCCATTAAATATCTATTTAGTAAAGCTCTGCAACATATCAACTATATTTAGAAGTGAACATCAGTGATATGTGGAACAGTTATACGAATTATGACAGAAAAGAAAATACGAGATATTGCTTAATATTTGAAAATCATTTTTAAACAAATTCTTTTTCAATGGATATACCTGATCCCGCGCCATAGAGGGAATTACTAAAAGAATTGCAAGTCTAATTTTCATAGGTTGCAAGACAGACAAATGGATAGGTCTAGGTCGACTCTGATCGTTGTACTAATCAGGAATATATATGCTTTATCGGCTCTACCACGCCTCGTTCTGTCAGTTAAATACCTTTTAACAAAATCTTATATGTAGAATTTCTCTATTATTTTTATTGATAATGAAATCGATCTATTATATTGATTACCTTCCACGGGCTCTACTCATGCGAGAGTCCACTCATGTTCTCTAGATAAAGCACCAAGTGCTATGCAAATGAAATCACTATCTATATGATGTATACAAATATATACTCGTATGTATATATACAAGTCTATAAAAATAATTTTTCAAGATATGAACTTTGCAGCTGAAACTATAGATTCTCTATCCATGCAGACATATGTGCATTTATGATGATACTATATAGTGATGGATTATATAAAAATTCTGAATTCTTATTTATCTTAGTATTTATTTCGTATTTTTGATACATTTAAAATTTAGTATTTTAAAATATTTTCGACACTCTTTCTTATTGCAAATAAATATTTATAAATAAATAAAATATAAATATAAATATTTATTTGCAGTAAAAAAGAGTGAAACAAAAAAAAAAGTTTATTCATAAATATTCCGTCGGAGTGACGTGATTTTGGATCACGATAGTACAGAGCAAGGCAAGTGAATGGATATTGCGTCACTTGCATCGCCGGACTATCCAAGTACAGTACGACACACTCGGCTGCTACAGAGAACACTATGGCTAGACAAACTTAGATGCTAGGCGCAAGGGGCGCGACAAGGTCGTATATGATTCCCCGGCTAGTCGGAGAGCAGAACAACATCGTCGCTGCAGTCGCCTGGCGGCGGAGCTGGCGATGGCTTCGGCTTGGCGGGCGGGTCCTCGCTCTTGCGCAGATACTGGCTGATGAGCGCGTTCTTGGTGGCCGCATGGAACTGCTGATCGCGCGGCACGGACATGAGCAGATTGACGCGTTTCTTCACGCTCGAGGCTCTTGTGGCTGCCGCCGCTGGTTGACCTGTGGATGTGGTTGGCGTGTTGGCCGTCGAGTCCTTGGCCTTGCCCGCTTTGTCGACGTCTGTCTTGGGTGTGCCAGGCGCATTGGCCGCGTCGGCGGTAAGCGAAGCCTCTGCCAAGGAGGTGTCCGCCTTGCTGACCTTCGGCGTGAGCGTGTAGTTCCATTGATTCTGCAGCGTCAGCTCGTCGAGGTGGAATCGGTGCAGCGTTTCCGCCGTGACCACCCAGCAGAGGCGCTTTTTGGGCTTCTTCGACTTTTTTGCCTCGGCGCCAACGGACTTCTCGACGGGCTTCCAGGTGGCCAGCTCATCGAACTTCTCGCGCAGCATCGTCTTTGAGGGCAGCGTCATTTGGGACTCCGGCGGAATCTGGGTCTTCAGATACTCCAGGTACTCGGCGATGAGGAACATTTTGGCGTTGCTGTTGCCGTGTATAAGCCGGACCAGCTGCTGCAGCAGCTGCTCGCCCAGCTGCAGTGTCGCTGGCTTGGCCTTGGCCTCCTCCAGGGGCTCCTCCTCCTCGCCGGACTCCTGCGGCGGCTCCAGCGTCAGCGGCTGCAGCTGCCAGCAGCCGTACATGTCGATGGTCTGGATGAAGACAGCCGGGCACAGCTGCGACTTGTTGCCGTCCTCGTCCAGCCAGACGGGCCCCAGCAGGCGGGGCTTGATCTTCTTGGTCTGCTTCTTCATTTCCTGGGCGAACTCCTGCTGCAGCACCTGCAGCTTGGCCTTCTGCGCCTCGCGGGTATTGCCATCCTCCAGCTCGCCATCGTTCTGCAGCTCCTCGTCGCTGAGATGGCCGTGGGGCACAAACCATTCGTTGTACTCCTCCTCCGATTCCTCCTCGGACTCGCGCTCCTTCTCATCTTCGCTGGCGCTCAGCGACTCCCCGGGCTCCTCCTCCTCCCACTCGCAGTCCGAGTCCACCTCGTAGTCGAAATAAGTCTGTAATATGGGAACGCAAAGATTTAAGCTATGGAAGCACATTTGGTTATAGAATCTATTGTAGCACACCTTATCCTGTCCCAGTGGGCGGCGCGCGGTGATCACTTGGCTGCGCTTGCGCCAGGTGCCGTAGTAGGGCGGGCGACGATTGTCCGCAAAGTGCAGATACTTGGCGCGCATCCATGGCACCTGCTTAGGGCGCTCCACCACAATGGGCGTGCCCACGGCATTGACCAGGTCATCTGGAAGCGATGCAGGGATGATAATAGTGAAGGTGTCTAAGGGCTGTGAGGCGATGCACTTACCAACCACCTGGACGTCGTCGTCATCCTCCTCGTCCTTGGCGCACCGCTGCAGCCGGGCATCCCGCTTGCTGGACAGCGGCTTGCGCTTGCCCTGGCTCAGTTCGTTCAGATAGAGATGGGCGCGTGTGGGACGCTTGGTGCGTCCAATGCTCTCGTTGAGATCCTCGCCATCCTCGTCGTCGTCGTCCGGCACATGGAAGAGCGTGTCCAGCAGCTGGCGCGTGTCGGCGGCGAGTGTGGTGCGAGTGACGGGGGCCACGATCATGTCGTCCTTCACCTGGAATGGCCGGAAGGCGAGCTGCTGGTTGCTCGCGTGGCTGGGGTCGCTGTCGCTGCTGTTCTGCTCGTGCTCCAGCGAGCCGCTGATGGACTGCCTCGGCTGCTTGGGCACAAAGAATTTGCTGAATGTGGCGGCGGCGCGCTTCTTCTTCAGCTCCGCCTCCTCCTTCTCCTGCTCCTTGCGGCGTCGCTCCTCGTCCTTCTTGCGCTGTATCTCCTCTTTGGCCTCGTTGCGCTTGCGCTTCTCCTCATTCTCGGCCTGCCGTTTGCGCTCCTTCTCCTCGTTCTCGGCCTGACGCTTGCGCTCCTTCTCCTCGCGCTCCTTGCGGCGCAGCTCCTCCTTGTCCTCGCGCTCTTTGCGCCGCTGCTCCTCCTTCAAGTCGCGCTCGGCCTTCCGCTGCTGCTCGCGCTGCTCCTTCTCCAGCTGCTTGAGGCGCCGCTCCTCCTGCAGCTTGCGCTCCTTCTCCTCGCGCGCCTTCCGTCGCTGCTCCATGAGCCGCTGCTGCTTGGGCGTCAGATTTGGCAGCTTCTCCGCCACGACGGGCGCAACGCTAGCCGACTTGCCCTCCTCTTCCGTCTCTTTCTCTGTCTCCGATGACTCCTCCTGTTTCGTGTTCTGCTCCTTCTCTGGCGATGTGATCAGTGTGTCTGTGTCCACGTCCACGTCCATGTCGGCACTGGGCTGCTCCACAACGGCAACTTCTGCTTCAGCTTCCACTTCAGCCTCAGCGCTGCTTTCCAGCAGCACCACATCCTCATCTTCGTCTGCTTTCGGCTCTACCTCCGCTTCCTCCTTGGATTTGTCGTCCTTCTTGGACTTTGCACTCGCTGTCGAAGCTTTCACCTGGACTTCAGCGTTTCCCTTGGCCTTCTCTTCGGCTTTGGCCCCATCCACCTTGGGTATTTTCG